ATTATTTTAATCTAAGGTATGAATACCAAGATGGTGTAACCTTTTGTGTGGTCGCAGTCTCCTTTCGTTGTATAGATGTTGTTTGACCTTGTTTTCGCAACATGGTCATATTGGTAGGAAGATTTAGAGGAACGCACCTAGTCCAGAGTCCATTGTCTGCATGATCATTTCCAAAGTTGAACCGTGGGCGTGGTACGTCTGGGTCAAACAACCTCTATATTATTTTAAGCCGATTCAGTTCATTGTCACAATGGTCTCTATCGGCTAGTCTTATGCTCTGAATAATTATAGATTATCAAGCTCTAACCTTTGTTTTGTAACTATGATTGGAGAAGAAGTATAAAGCCAGAATGTGTTGGCGTTTTATAGACATCTCTGATTAGCTTCTCTCTTGCTCCTGATCACTAAAACAGCTAAAAATGGTAAATTATTGTTGACCTCCATCTCCATTGTCAACTTAATATTGCAGCCAATCTGGTTAATTAAAAACAAGAAATTATCTAAACTATCCATGCCATGCTGCCATATAGCAAAGTAGTCATCCATGTATCTAACTAACGGTTTGGGTATCATTCTTACCCCTTCCATGAAGTGTTCCTCCATTCCTGACATGTAATTATTAGCCAAAATGGGAGCCAAGCAAGATCCCATTGCTAGGCCTTGCACCTGTTCATAAACTTTATTATTAAAGGTTAAGTATTTGCTGTTGATAGATTAAGAAGTCTTAATATTGGGTCTGCTCAGATTTGCCTCCCCAAAAAATTCTGGGTGTTCATCTAGGCTGAATGTAAGTGCTTTAATAGCTTTATAAACTGGGGTGTTAGTATACATTAATACCACATCAGAACTAACCAAAAGATCCTCCTCTTTAATATTCTGTTGTTCTATTAATCTAGCAAATTCATATGAATTGTTCACTGAATATTTCCAATATTCAGCCAATTTCCTTAGTTGTCTAGATAAGAAACGTGAGATCCTATGCATCACAGTACCCTTGTTATTAACAATCAATCTTAAAGGAACTCCTTCCTTGTTTATTTTTGTGAGACAGTAAGCCGCAGGTGCCTTAGCATTCCTCTAAAGAAGTGAATTCGTTTTCCACTTATCAATTTCTCCTCTGCTTACACAAACGTTAAGCGATTCCCTTAGTCTTGCCTTAAGACTTTCTGTGAGATCCTTCAGTAAAACTCTGTAAGTTTCTGAGTCATTTAAATGAGCCATCATTTTTTCTATATAACTTAACCTATCCATGATGACCACTGCATCATTTTTATCTGCCTTTAAAACAAACAGATCATTTTGGTGCAAATATCTGGAAACTTTATTCAAGTCATACGATTTCTTTGGAATGATTACTTAATCAAAATAAGGAATTGCTTCTCTTTTTATATTATTCGTAGCCTCTTCTGGCAGCTTGTCCTTTAAGTTAATTAACTCAACCAGTATATCCATAGAATGATTTTGTTCATTTGGAAATGCAAAGTTTAAACCCTTTTCCAAGACGATAATAATAATGATAAGGATAGTTTAGATAATTTTTTGTTCTTAATTAATCAGATTGACAACAATACTAAGTTGACAATAGAGATGGAGAGGGACAATAATTTACCATTTTTAGAGGCTTTCGTGATAAGTGCAGATGAGAACTTAAGCAGAGATGCATATTTAAAGCCAACGCATGCTGGCTTTATCCTTACTTGCTTCTCCAATCAAAAGGTTGGAATTTTAAGATTATGATTATTCGAAGCTCACTCTCTCTCTCTCTCATTAAGACCAAGAACAAAAACGGATCATCAACATAACCAGACATCTGTCTGACTTTGCGCGATCGGAGTGCTTGTTATAACATATATGTAGGAGGGAGATAGTGGTCATCAAACCTTGATGGCCAAGAACAGCTGTTACTTTTGCTGTCATAATTACTTTAGCCATCACTGCTGGTTTTGGGCATAAGCGAACACAAAATGGCACATAAACATACAGAGACATACACATTCAAAGGCTTCGAAGTTGACATATGACCGTAACTAAGCAAATCACTTTATACCTTATCAAAGAGGTCAAATATAAGTATATATATAGCTTTTTAGGGATTTGCGGTGGGTTTTCTTGACTCAGCTTGAATTTGGTTGTGTCGATGATAGCTTACTCTGATGATGTTCGTCATATTACGGACGAAAGCTTGGCACCTTTGCACCAGAATCTAAGGAGATTTCCTCGGAAATAGCGTCATTATGAATGCTGCAGTAAAGCCAATTAACAGCTGGTCAAGAAGAATCCGCCATCGTCCTTATTTTGTCCCAAGTATTGGTTTTCTTTCATCCTATTTATTATTTTAAAATTGTTGACGATTAATCATAACGGATAATTTTTCTCAGCCTTTCTAACTGTTGTTCCTGATGCTTTACGTCCACTAGACGTAAACTTCGTAATATCATTTATTTCATTAACCCTACTTTGACACCATAAGTACGATTTGAGAAAAAATTAATAAGGAAATCCGCATTTGTGGGTTTCCTATATACACCTCTACTCAGTTTTTGCCTTCTTTAATAATTAGGCCATCTAAAATGAGTAGTTTATTGTCCTTTTCCAACTCCATAGTGAACTTAGTCGCCTTATCTACTTTATTCCTTAACTCAGGGAAGTCTTCCAAACACTCTGCCATGCTGTCAGATAGCAAAGTAATCATCCATATATCTGACCAATAGTTTCGGAACTAAAAGTAACTCTTGATAAAACAGGAATTCCAATTGAGCCATACAGGTATTAGCTAAAACTGGAGACAAACACGATTCCATAGCTTAATCTCTCGTTTGCTCGTACAATTTACCAGTGAAGATAAAATATGTAATATTCAGTATTAAGTTTTTCAATCGCATGATTGACTCCTTGCCCATTATATTTCCTGATATAATCTCTGGGTGTAGATCTAAGGTTAATCCCAAAGCCTGTATGGCCCCACTTACTGGTATATTAGTGTACATGAATGCTACATCAAAATTTAGAAGAAAATCTCTTTATATTATTTGCCCAGCTATTACTTTAATAGTCATAAAATTTTTTTATTGACAATTTACTAGAACCTGAGATTTCCTTTAATTGACCACAAATTAATCGTGATGTTTTATGCATCACACCACCCTTATTATTCACAATGATCCTAAGTGGGACCTAACTTTTCTATTGTAGCTATGAGTGAAGAAGAAATTAAGGATAGAGCTAGTCCGTATTGTTTGCCTGTATACATCCCTGCTTAATTTTTATCCTGCTCTAATTATTAAAACATTCCAAATTTTTAAATTATTGTTCTTCTCTATCTAATTTATGAAATTAACATTACAATCATTCTGGTTAACCAAGAACATGAAATTATCTAAACTATTCTTATCATGTTGATATATGGTGAAATAGTCATCCATATTTCAAACTAACAATTTTCGAGTCAGTTTTACCTCTTTCATGATGCGTTCCTCCATTCTCGACATGTAATTTTTCACTAAAATAAGAGTTAAATGGGAACCCAGGCCTTGCACCTCTTATTAAAACTTACGAGTTAAAATGAACTTTGCTACTCATGGATAAATTAAGTCATCTTAAGATTGGACCTTTTCTCAGATTTGCCACCTCAATAATATCTGGGTGTTTATTTAGCCTGAGTTCTTGTGCTCCAATAACTCTCACAACTGGAATCTTAGCATACATTGATGCTACATCTAAACTCATCAAAGGGTCCTCATCCTTAATACTTTGCTAATTTATCAGCCTAACTAATTCATATGAATACTTAGCAGAAAATTTTCAATATCCAGCCACTTTTCTTAATTGTCTGCATAAGAATCGTTAAATATTGTGAATCTCATTTCCCTTATTATTATCAACTAATCTTAAAGTAGCTCCGTCCTTGTGTGTCTTTGGAAGGTCGTAAGCTAAAGGTGCCCTAGCGTTCCTTAGAAAAAGTGAATTCATTTCCACTCCTCAATTTCTTCCTCCTAAGTCTAGCTTTAGGACTCTGTGGGATCCTTTACTAGAAGTTTGTATTTTTCTGACTCATTTAAGTGGATAGTCTATTTTTCTATATAACCTAACCTATCCATGATGGCTACTGCGTCACCTTTATCTGCCTTCAAAGCAAATAAATCATTTGGGTTCTAATATCTAGAAAGTTTATTTAAACCATAGGATTTCTTTAGAATAATTGTCTCGTCAAAATAATGAATAACTTCTCTTCTTAAATTATTTTTTATATCTCCTGGCAGCCTGTCTGTCAAGTTAAGACCTTAATGGAATTCCTACTTCGTTGTATTTGCTCCTAAATACGTAGGTGAACTGGTGACGAAGTATAGTATCCAAGAGGTATTAGAGGATTATTGGCACTGCTCCTATCTCTTGTGCGGTTTTCTGACCTTAAGTTAGAGCGCTCCTATAAGAAATTTCCTCTTTTTAGTGTAGAATATTGCTTTGAGACCCATATATAAGGGGCTAGCCAAACAAATATTGGCCTGTTAATGATTTGGGTTCGGAGGACTTAGCCTATCTCGGGCACAAAATAAGGTCTTTTGTATTTTAACTATTTGTTGAATACGGATATTTCATTGTTAAACTCAAGATGACGCATGCCATTTTAATCAACAGCTTCTGATTTCTGCTGCAATCTTAGCATGAT